ATATTCTAGGTAATAACACAAAATTTACAAAACCCGAATATACTGTACGTTATGCTAAAGGTTCAGAACATATCTTCAAAGAATCTCACACAAATTGATATCTAGGTTTGCATCAACGGGTGTTGATCCATTTAATTCTGATCATGGCTCATTTAGGACAGTTCTTCCTCTCGTCGCAGCATAGTATTGTCGAAAACATAACTTACTGCTGTCTGACCGCACGAAGTTCTAAGTCGGCGTGACGTCAATCAGGTAGCCTTCGCCAAGTGTACTTGTGACACACTTGCGGGGCATGCTAACCTGCGCAGCAAAGCACTTCACCAGAACACCCAGAACACTTCCAAGATGCTCTCTGTGGAATACATACATGTATGTCTGAACGCTCGACGTGGTTGACGTAGCATTGGGGGTTGACAGTACAAACGTAGAGTACTTCAGATGTGCCAGAGGTAGCTTCGTACTGTCAGTTCACACGGGGATCTGAGTATAGGCAGCCTCCGTTAGGCTCGCTGGCGACAATTGTGAGGAAGGGGAGGCAGCCGAAGAGGTGCTTCTTTCGAGACAATCTCCCATTCCTAAGCAGCTAACGCACACCACCTCAGACATAGCAGTAACCAGCACTGTGCTCACATCGAGTACTGCCGATGTACTAAGAGCACCTTCATGTTGTCAGATCGCCCGGGGATATGAGTCGGCTCTACTTGATGTATACAGCTTCGCATTTAAGTGTGCTTGTGCAGGTTGTGGGGTATACCCACCTGTCGAGGCGTGCAGCTCACCAGGGCACGTCCGAGACGCTCTGTAGCACATATTCATATTACCCCAACCAAGTACGTTGCAGGAACTCCCATCGCACCATCGAATAGTGCTTATATGTCAGCAGCTGATTTATAGTTCATACGCAAGCCTCGGAAGACGTAGCTGGATCCAATTTAAACAACATCGAATAAACTAGCGTCTATCTGTCAGAGTCGCATTGCAGACTACACTACACTCACTCAGAGAAGGCCTGACTACAGACGGGGTTTGCAGCTAAGCGTGCAATGGGCCTCACACGTGGGAAGGATCACACCCGCTGGACATCCGATACTCACCGAACACGCGCGTATTTCTGGGACGTGGACGATGACCCGATACGGCCAGTTCGCACTAGGAGGCAGACTTTAGTCCATAAAAGTCATTGAAACCAGGCAACGAGAAAAGAAAGCAGCCCTTGCTGGACTGTGCTGAAAACAACAGTACGCTCAGCAAGGCCTAAACGCCTGTTCCTCACACAGCACAGGAGGAAGTACTTCAGCTTCGCCTTCTCGCCACAGTTCACTCCACTAGAGAATAGAGTACGATATAGTCGCGAATTTAATCCTCACGCAACCCACTTCACGCAAAGAGAAGGAGACATACTCATGATGTACGTGTGATGAGCACACTTGCACCGACCATGAACTTTGGCAGTGATATGTTTAGACATGTTGATCGACCAACTGGCCTAACTGTAGATATCACAATATATATATATATATATATTATTTCAATCGGGTATGCTGTCAACATTTTCGCGCTTCTCTGTCTCTATTCCCAGTCTGACCACAGCCTCCCTCTCGCCTAAAACCTTAGCTCGGGCGTCACTCCGCTCGAAAATCGTCAATACACGAGACGCTTCAAAGAGAATCTGCACATCCGCCAGACTCAAAAGGAGCGCGTTCAAGATGGCATCAGCACCGCTTCTTCTAAAACTCCCCAAGGATCTTGCTTGCTGTAGTGCACTTATCTGCGCACTGGCCAAGTTAACGGGCATCGGCGCATCACTCATGAGGTAGTTATCTAAAAATCGATGCAGCTCAGCTACCAAGGACGGTGATATAACCTCGGATACGAGCGAGGCAACACTTGCCGTATCGACTGAGGGTACGGCTGCTAGGTCGTCTGTGTTGAGTGTTTTTCCGACGTCCACCTGTTTCTTGTATATCTCTCCACTGCTCCGATCATTTGGGGCCGTGGGCAGGGCGGGTTCTAACGTGCTGGCTGGGCTCTGACCGACATCTATCGAGCACGATATTGGATCGCAAGCTTGCTTCAGTCCATTTACCTCGTCTTGGCAAGCCATGAGCGTTTCATGCAGACGTATACCCTCGTGGAGAAAGAGTAAGTTCTCTTCACAGTATCGTTCACGTGCTACCGCCAACAGTGCGGGGTACAGTAGGTCGTCGTCTATGATTGTCTTCAAGCCCGTTCGCTCACTTCGCATATTTATCATAACACTCACGTCATCGTTGTCGTACTTGATCCGATTGTTCTGCTGCAGATACTTAACGAACGTCTGGTACGCTGTGGGTCCAATCAGCTCCACATTCAATATCCAGATAACCACCATGATGGAATTGAACTGGTCTGTGACTCGGACTGAATAGTCTAGAGAGACAAGCACCGAAGCAACATACACGAGTGATATCAGGGAAAGCCCGCACGCGGACAATAAATCATGATACTGATCACGCAGAAATTATGTTTTCCTCAGTCTAAAACAATAGTACGTGGTTTCAATGATCACCGTCAGGAGCAGCAATCTCAGAATAAATCCCGAAATATCAAAGTACTGGTCAGGAAGGTAAATCGCAAACACGCTGAAACTCAGAATCGGCGAGACGATGGTAACTCGGATCATGGTATTGCTGTACTTTGCATCAAAGTCACCTTTGATGAATATTAGATACATTACCCTCAAACGGGCTAATGGAGCGGATGCCAAGGCCATGATCATGACGGATTCCTGATACATTGCAAGCGCAAACAGCCACTTCGCGGACCCCAGATCGACATGATAGATATTCTATATTGCAAGACAGAAAAGCAATGTGTTAAAAACGATAGTCCTATCTATCAATAAATATGATAGGTGGACTACTCTACCTGCACACGCAAATAATTGAATATAAATATATATATGTATATGTATGTACGTACGTATGTACGTATGTATGAATGTACGTAAGTACATACGTATGTATGTCTGAAGTATGTAAGTATGTATGTATGCATAAAACTAAGCATGTAGGTATGTATATATATGATATGTGTATGTATATGTGTATGTATACGTACATTTATATATATATATATACAGATATGAATATATAT